TCATTTATTTAATATCAATACCAAAATAATAATACCAAAATGAACCCTTATCCGGGCTATTTCTATTCATGTAACATGTTTCTTATATTATTATTCTACTAATAAATATTTCATAATTGAATTTTTGAAGCAAACAAATTTTATGCTCTTTTACAATATGTGATGTCATGTAAGTATATTTAAATAGAAAAATATATATTAATTTTATTTAAAAATTTTTTTATTTATTTTATTATTTTTAATATTAAAATTGTTTATTATGTTTTTTAAATTGTCAAATATTTTTTTATGTTATGAATTTTAATAATTAAAAACTTATTAAAACTTATATTATAAATGTAACTAACAAATAAAAATCTATCTTTTAATTTTGAAGTTTATTTTTATATTGTATAGATAGTAAGATGTTTTTGTTTTTAAGAATAACAGGTAATAAGCTAAATAAGTCATATAATTGCTATAATGACTTATATTTATTAAAAAGGAAGTAACATTTTTCTAAAAATGAAAAATTTTATTTCTAGGTTCTTTCACACTGTGGTGCACATGGGCACATGCAGTACGTGGACATAGAGATGACCACAGAGAATCAAAATGGAAGTTATGTTTAATATTTCTTGTTTTATATAAAATTATTAAAATTGTGATCCAGATGATTAATTGCATTATAAATTATTTTGGTTAGCGTGTGTTTCATATAAATTTATTATTTATAATTTTGAAATGATAAAATATAAAATTAAATACTTGTTTTGCTTTTCTTTATATATTTTTAAAAATTTCTTTTATTATTAATTATTATTATTTTTTAAAAATATAATATATGAAAATATATTATACAAAATATTTAATATTTAAACAAATTTTATGTAACATTGTAGACATCACAATGTATAATTTATAGTGCTTGGATAAGGGTTGGTTTAATTTAATGTAACAAAATAAGATTTTAAAATTAAATCGAATATATTTTGTACATATACATATATAATTATATATTTCAGGTCCAGTTTTATAGCTAGTATGGGAAGTGCAATAGCTTCTACTCCTATAGACGTTGTTCGTGTAAGTAAATGATTTATAAATATTTTGTTTATATTTTTATCTAAATAATAATACTATTATAGACACGTTTAATGAATCAGAGGAGGATACGTACTACAGGTGGTATATTACCACCACATATTTATAATGGTAGCATAGATTGCTTTGTACAGGTATATAACATCAAATATCAAACATATATATATACATATACATATACATATATATATAAAACATATATATACATATATAAAAAAAAAGTGTGCATATTTTTTTTATTCTTTTTAATAATATGAATTTTATTTTTTTTTTGCAGACTTTTAAAAATGAAGGATTTTTAGCTTTATATAAGGGTTTTGTACCTACTTGGTTTAGAATGGGACCATGGAATATAATATTTTTTATAACATATGAACAATTGAAAAAACTAGATGATTCATAATAATGCATTGAATTTTTCAAGTAAATAATAATAAATGAAAAAAATATGTATGTATGAACATACGATAAAACAATTGTAACTAGAGTTTGTAATGAATATTTGTATTATATAATTTATTTTTATGAAATTTTATTTAAACATAAAAAAAGCTATGCAGAAAAAATAACAAAAATAAATAGAACTTATTTTTTTTAATTATATCCAAATTACAGATTAATAAAAATATTTATAATAAAAAATATGAAATATCGAATCAATATTAAAAAATATTAATTATTTAATATATAAATTAGAATTATAGTTACATTTTATAAATTTAATGTAACTTTAATAGCTTTTTTAAATTTAAATATAGTACCACATGTTAATTTTTTATGTTCCTTATATTTAGATTTGGATTTTTATAAAAATATAACACTGGTGTTAAAATTTTTTAAAATATATCTAAAAAATTAAAAAAAAATTACTTAATACATATTATTATATATATCTATAAAAATTTGTTAAATTTGCAAAAAGTATATATTAAAGAAACAATATTTCAAATGTATGTAATATTTGTATTGAAATTTTTTTTATAAACTATTAGGAATGCATAACAGTATGATATATTAAAATATTATAAATATAAATATATGCAACAAATATTAAAATATTCAACAAATATTATAACAATTTCAAATAAATATAGCATGTATATATAATTTTTTTTGCTATATGTTTACTAAGTTAAAAAATTTTATTATAAATTATTATAAATTAATAATGAAATTTATAATTAAAAAATCTTTCATTGAAAATATTACAATACTAATTATACATTTTTACAATTCCACACAATTATCTTTTTATCTTTTCCACCAGTTAAGATTATATTATTTTCTGTTGATACTGATAATGTATTAATTGGACCTAAAATATTAATAAAATATAATTATTAGCTTTTTAATTATTAATTAAATCAAATATTGAAGTAATAGATTTTATGATATATAATACAAATAATTAACAATTAATTAATATTAATATATAAAATACTGTACCATCATGGCAATGTATTTGTGTAATAAAAATTGCTCCTTGACAATTCCAAACATTAATATTACCATTGTTATCTCCTATTAATAAAAAGGTTTTGAACCAAGTTAATGTTAAAGGTTCATATTCTATAGTCGTACGATAAATCTGAGTACTCGTATAAATATCAATAATGTTTAACATTTTATCTTCTGCACATGATATTATACTTTTTCCTTCTTGATCAAATACCATTGCATTTATTTTACAATTATGTGCTGTAGAGAATAAAATAATCATATATCTTAAAATAAAGAAAAAATTATTTTAAACTTTACCTTTTACAATGAAATATACTTTACCTTTTACAGTGAATTGAAGATTATATGTATCCATATTCCATAAAAAAATTTCTCCATCTTCTGTGCCAGATATCAATAATGTTTCATCTCTATAAATATTTCAATAAAAAGATAAAAATATAATATTAATATTAATAACATTAAAAGTATAATATTTAATGCAATTTATAAAATATAAATAATTTTACCCTGATATATTAATGCAAGTTACTTTAGAATCATGATCTAATTGTGCTATAAGGCACTCAGCTGGTTTAATTTTTGTCCCAGAAGAATAACTTTGCCAAACTTTTGCTGTACAATCCCATGAACCAGAGATAATAACCTGACGAGTAATACTTAGTGCTAAACAAGAAACAGCATCTTCATGGCCTTGAAGTACATCTATTATTCTACCAAACTCAATATCATAGAATATTCTGTAAAAAAAAATATTAATTAATAGAATGAAATACACATATATAAATATAAAATATTATAAAAATTATAAATAATAATAATATAAATAAAATTTACTTAACATACTCACAGTGTATTGTCCCAAGAACCAGCAACTAATATATTGCGATGAGAAGATGTATAATATGATATGCAAGAGGAAAGTGGTAATGACGATAAAGGTACATTACGCGTTAATTTTTTATTTTTTATACTATATAATTTAAGCATTCCATCTTGTCCTACTGATATTACTTCATTTATTTCTTTCCTATTCGTTATGATAATACTACTTACACTTTCTTTATGAGATTGAAACATTATTAATTCATGTAATTCGAAAATCTCTATAGGATTTTCCTCATTTTCTAAAAACACAAGAACAATGTTTTTATTAATCATAATGTGCGCATTTATATTTTAATAAATTAATTTATCAATTGATAAAATAATTATCAATAAAAAAAATATTATACCTTTATATATACCTTTTTCGTTTTTAGTTGATATTGAATCAATTTCAGTATATAATTTATCCAAAATAAACATTGAACGTTTTGGATGTGGTAAAGTAAAAATTTGTTTTGGTATTTGACCAAACTCCATGATTTGTATTTCCAAACCATGTCTATCATTAATATCTCTAATAGTATCTAAGTCTACTGCTCCTTCATAGCACAGATGGAAAAATACTAGAATACAATATTAATATAATTTATATAAATTACATTATAAAAAATATTAAATATTTATACATTAATTTTTACAATTAATACTTAATTTACCATTATTAGCTTTCTCTGCTTCAATTCCTCTCTGTTTATATCCAAAAATTAAATCAATCCAATGATGAAGATTTTGAGAAACATAATCATTCTCTAAAGCATTTCTTAATATTTGTACAAAATGAGCTGGTCCTGGGATTCAATAATTAATTTAGTTGAACTTCAAATAATTATTTGTAAATTGCAAATTACATACCATTTGCCCATGGTGGTAATTGTACGTCTCCTATTTTTGTTCCATCATATCGATAACCAAAATCAATACCATAACTATTTACTAAAAAATCACCACCGTTGTTTATGTCATAAAATTCCGGGATCAGTTCTTTAAAGTCAGACATGTTCACCAAAACATTTTTCCATACGTCAGCTACACTGTTAGGTGTTTTTGTTGGTAAGAGTGAAACAAAAAATCGATTCTGCAGAGTCGACAGAGTAATTATGTATTTTTATGGTACAATAAGCAATTACCATAAAATTTTGGCTTGTCTGTGCGATTAAAAACTTTATTCACATATTCTTATTATCATTATTAAACTAAATAATACATACATTTTTTTAATGCTTATGAATTTAGTATTTTGAAAAAAACTGTAACAATATATCTTTTTATAAAATATACATACCTATTAAACATTCTATCTGGATGATCAAATCTTCCATTTTGTAAACAAAGCATGTACTGAGGATACTTTCGTACTAAATAAAATAATACAAATCCTGGTGCACTATAATGAGAACCATACAAAAATTTTGGTTCTGACATTTCTAAATATCGTTCCTAAAATATAATAGCAATATTTCTGACATTTATAAGTCATTATTATTAGAAAAAATAAAAATAATAAATATATATATATAAAAAAAAACCTTTAATCTTTCTAGCCGATTTGATTCAAGAGCTCCAATAGGTTTTGAAAGATCTCTATATATTCTAGGATCTTTTAAATCCAATGTAGTAGATGTGTAATCTTGTAATACCCATGGCATAACTGGATATTGGGTTAAATCATGAAAAGTTCTATCTGCTAAACTGAAAAATAATACTTAAATTAATTAATATTGTAAAATTTGATAATTATAATCAATATAAATTACCTATTAATATACAAAAGATAATCATAATTTGATAGAGAACCATTTTGCCATCTCATAGTCATTTGATCTTGAGGTACTCTTTCTAAAGAAATTGTAGGTTGATTTAATAAACTTGTATATAATTCATCTCTATCATTTTGATTTTTTAATGATATAAATAAATGTTCAGCCTTATTTTCAGGTTGACGTAACCATTTAATTTCAAGCCCCTTAAAAAAAATTGATATATATCAAATTATAATGATTACATTAATTTAAAAGATCATACTTACAATTTGACTTAGAAGAAATCGTCTTTTATTAATATTAATAATATCTTTCAATTGTATTTTTAGAACTGGATGCTAAAATCATAAGATTATTTCTTTAGTATGAATAGAAATTATTTATAATTATCATTAAAATACATACTTGATCTAAATTATTATAAGGTTGAAAATAAATTCTTGAAGTTGTTAAAAGTATTCTTCCTGGATTTATAACAAGAGGTAACACTTTATTTGCTTGAATTTCTAACACTACCTGTTCATATAAATCCTCTAACCACGAAGTATCAAATGATACTCTAGACTGTCGAGAATGTACAATAGCCATAATCTATATAAAAATAATAATTTTATTATATATATATTATTATTTTAATATAATAATATAAATAATAATTTTAGAAAATACCATAGCATTTTGTTCAGCAGTTGGTAAAGTAGCTGCTCTAAATAGTTGTAGAATATGTGGAAGGTAATCATCTATTTTTGCATAATTAAAGAAAAAGTGAAAAGTAGCATTTTGATGTATAAATTTATATGGTGCAAGTATATTCTTCTCTAGCATCTTTACATACTGCTTACATTGAACCAATAATATATTGCCACATCTTGCAAATAAAATAAAATTTGTTAATAAAAAAAAAAGTAATTATAATTATGTTAAAAATCAAAAATATACTAACTTTGTTATATCATTGTTGGATTGACATTGATCAATAGTTAGAGTTTCTTTAAGTTGAATCTTAATTAAAGGCTGATTAATATCTTTATTTACAAATACTAATGATTTTGAACATAATTTTAATCTTCCATCTTTCCAGTTTTGTTCTTCTGAAGTAGAATTATCAAATAATTTCATTTGAACACTATAATCTTCAAAAAATATTTCTCCAGGTTCTAAAAGGAGCATAGTGAACCTAATACATACAAAAAATTTTTTATTTATTAAATGATTATAACATGTCATTAAATAATTTGTTGTTAAAAATATTTGATATAAATGATAATTAAATTAATGTATATATTTTAAATTAATTTATATATATATTTAAATATATTACTAGAAAGTAATTATATTTTTATAAATAAACATATAATTAAAAGAAAAGATTACCTTTCTTTTTCCATTGTTACAAAAATAAATAAATTATAATGATAGTAAATTGTAAATGATACGCATAATTAATACTTTTTATCAGTCAAATTTACATGATTATTTCTCATTAAATAAAATATAAATTTTATTTTAGGTTGTGTTAAATGACAATATGAATCATCATATACGTATGTATATATCTTTTCAAATGGCTGTTTAATGAAACAATAAGGCTTGCTCTATTCGATGCATTTCTATAGACATTTAAAAATATAAAAATTAAAAATTAAAAAAAGAAAAATATTTTTTATTATTTAATTAAAAACTAAATATAAATAAAATATAAAATTTTTTCTTTATTTCATTATTTTTTAAAGCAATATTAATATACTTAAATATATTATATTAAATTGAAGTATAAAAATCGTGTGACGAAGTTTTGAGCACCACTGATTTTTAAAGAGAACCGAGAAGAATCGAATATATTCCGGTTCTTTCGTCTCATTTCTCAAATCACGCATATCATCAATACAACAAACCGGTGCTCTTTAAATCGGTCATTTTCAATTTATTCAGACATTTTTGTTTCTTTATAGTGATTACATTTTGTTTATAATGGAGAAATTAATGAAACATTTATCCAAAATAAGGATACCGCAGAAAAATGATAAAATATACAAGGATGAATGTGTTTATTCTTTTGATACACCAGTAAGATTTCATGATGATTTTATAATTAAAGATGATAATATAATTTGTTAATTGTATTATTATTTTCATTATTTTTTTAAGGATACTTGTACTGGTCTGTATATTAATCTTACTACGTTCTTGGGATTAGGTCAGGATTATATACAACATTATTATCAATTAACAGAAAATCCTATATTTTTACATATTAAAAGGAGAAGGAAAGAAGTAAGTTTTTTATTATTAAATTTTAATATTGAAAAATATATTGACAAAATATGTATTGTTTATATATAATGATTAATGTTATTTATATATATATATATTATATTATATTAGATTCCTTCTAAACACCAAGGAGATGGTCCTGAAAAGAAAATTACTAGATTAGCAATAGGAACAGCTGATGGATTTACACCAGATCAGCAAAAATATACTTATCATGAATCTTATCAAATTATTATTTTACCAGATTTTATTACGATACCATATCCAACAGATAATTTACCCCAAGAAGTAAGTTTTATATAAAAAAACATAAAAGTAATAATAAAAATAAATTATAAGAAAATATAATTTATATAGGTTGAAGTTGCAATTAAATATATATTGGAAGCAGAATCTGCAACAAAAGTAGCTGAAGTAGAAGCATTGACTGGAACTTGGGATGGAGAAATAAAAGCAATTTCAAAGTAAGAATTAAAACTAAGATATTTGTTACAGTATAAAACATTTTTATTATCATCTTATATAAATTTATAGACATGCAGCAAATCTTAAACAATTAGATAATGGAAAAAAAATACCACCCAATGGATGGAAATGTGAAAAATGTGATTTAACTCAAAATCTTTGGCTTAATTTAACTGATGGTAGTATTTTTTGTGGACGTAAATTTTATGATGGAACAGGAGGAAATGATCATGCAGTTGAACATTATAGAGCTACAGGCTATTCGTTAGCTGTGAAATTAGGAACTATAACTAAAGAAGGAAAAGCAGATGTATTCTCATATGATGAAGATGATATGGTTGAAGATCCAAATTTAGTATCACATTTAGCTCATTGGGGTATTAATATTGCCCAAATGGAGAAAACTGATAAATCTATGATAGAACTTGAATTAGATCTCAATCAAAGATTTGGAGAATGGGTTGCACTTCAAGAAGCAACAAGTAAATTAACACCTTTATATGGACCTGGATATACAGGACTTGCTAACTTAGGAAATTCTTGTTATTTAAATAGTGTCATGCAAATGTTATTTGTGATTCCAGATTTTATTAAAAGGTTTGTAATTTAATTTCAAGTAGATAAATTATACTATAGAAACTAAATATAATACAAATATATAGTAGAAATATACATAGAAAAAAATTTAATCACTGTATTGCAATAATTATTCAATCAATATATTTTTTAATAAAACATTATGTCTTTCTTCATAATAGGATCAGTATTTAATAATCGGAGGTGAATTTCAGATTTATAGATGGTGCATCACAGATATTTCAACAAAATTATACCGATCCAGCTAATGATTTTAATGTTCAAATGTAAGTAAAATTACAACATGTGAATAACTTTAAGATACAAGATTGATATTGTAGGGCTAAACTTGGAATTGGTTTACTTTCTGGTAAATACTCTGATCCATCAGATACAAACAATGAACACGAATCACGACAAGGTATTCCGCCTCGGATGTTTAAAACATTAGTCGGTCGTGGACATCCCGGATTTTCCTCAAATCGACAACAAGATGCACAAGAATTTTTTCTCCACATCATAAACATAATAAATGTAATCATTATATTTTATATTTTTAATCAGATATATAAAAATAATTTACTTCATTTTTCATACGAAGTTACAATACTAATATCAGGAAATTGATCGCACAGCGTCACAGTCGTCGTCAAATGAATCCAACCGATTGTTTTAAATTTCAAGTTGAAGAAAGGTATCAATGTAGTCGTTCTAACAAAGTAAAGTATACCTATCGTACGGAATATTTATTACCACTACCAATACCTATAGAAACTGCTGTAAATAAGGTAAATAAATTATATAATTTATAAATTTTAATTTGAAAATTATCTTTATATATATTTTATATAGGATGAAGTCACAGCTTATGAAACATTGAAAAATGAAACTGAAGCAAAAGGACAAAAATTGGATTCGAATGCCCTTGTCAGACCACGCATAAAACTATCATCTTGTTTGCAAACATTTATTCGACCAGAAATAGTGGAACAATTTTATAGCTCAGCTTTAAATGAAAAAACAACAGCACAAAAGTAATATTGCAAAATAATATATATATAATATATAATAATATTAAAAATATTGTACATAATATTATATACATAATAATGTATTTTTTATAGAACAACTAGGCTTGCTACTTTTCCGGACTATCTATTAATTCATTTAAAAAAATTCATGATGAAAGAAGATTGGACACCAGTTAAATTAGATGTAGCAGTTGAAATGCCAGACATATTAAATTTAAGTTCTCTTCGAGGATTTGGTTTGCAACCTACAGAAGAATTATTACCAGAAACAGTTGGGACTGAACCTCCACTTATTTATGATTCCGTGATTTTAAATCAATTGACAGATATGGGATTTCCACCAGAAGCTTGTGAAAGAGCTCTATATTTTACAGAAAATCGTGGCTTAGAAGCAGCTACAAATTGGTTAATGGAGCATATTGCAGATTCAGATTTTGCAGATCCTTTTGTACCTCCTGGAATCGATATCAAACCAGGTAAATAAATTTTTACAAATTTTTTTATAAAATATTTAATTATCAATCTATATATATTTTTATATATTTATTTATTTTTAGAAAAAAATAAATTTATAGCAAATGAAGATGCTGTAGCTATGTTAATGGGGATGAGTTTCACAAGAGAACAAGCAACAAAAGCTCTTAAAGCGACTGATAATAATTTAGAACGTGCAGCAGATTGGATTTTTAGTCATCAAAATGAATTGGATGCTTTAGAAAGTGAAAATGAACCAGAACATTCCAAGGAAATATTTAGAGATGGAATCAATCGTATGTTTGTATTTTTATAATATTTTATATTTATATATAATTTATATATTTGTATCAAAAACTAATTTACTTCGATATTTATTCTTTGTATTATTAAATATTGTATTTTTATATTTTATAGAATATAAATTAGTAGGATTTATATCACATATGGGTACATCAACAATGGTAGGACATTATGTATGCCATCTTTTGAAAAATAATCGATGGGTGATATATAATGATGATAAAGTATGTATAAAAAATATAAAATAAATTAAACATAATAAATTTATTTACTTGAATCGTTTATTACAGGTTGCATTATCTGAAAATCCACCAAAAGAATTAGGATATATATATTTATATCAACGCATTGATTAGATTATACAATTATTTTGTATAAAAAATGTATTCTATTACACTTCAACAATAAAAAATATAATAAATAAATTTGTTTTTTATTTTAAATTATTTATTTTAAAAAAATATTAGAAATTTTAATTGCATATAAATAATTTATTATTTATTGTCCAATTATAGTTGTTGATACAATTTGATATAAATAAAAATATATAAAAACATTGATTTATTTATATAATGGCACTATTTTATAATATGTTATATCGTTTTACATTTTATATTTCAATTCGTACAATATCATTTACATAATATTAACAGGATTAAAAAATTTTAAATCTAAATAATGTAACAAATTTTTCAGTTGTATTTAATTTTTTGTATATTTAATATTTAGAATTTTATTAATCTATATATCAATTTTAACATGAATATAAATTATATATTTTTTATAAAATTATATATTTTATAAAATATATAATTTATAAATCT